CCCCGAGGAGCGTTTGCGGACATCAAGCTGCCAGCAAGGGCGTCAATTAAGGCGAAGGCGTCGGTAGCAAAGGCGGTTTCGACGAACAACGAAACTCGATGATTCAATTGCAATGGCAAGGGGCACTGGAACTGGGAGTGCACCAAGCTAAAGCGAGAGCCTGGTTCATGTTATGGCTGTGGCGCAGAGGATCACCGTATTGCTGTATGTCCCCAGAATGAGAAGAAGGTGGAAAACAATTATGTAAGAATATTTAAAATTTTTTGTGGGGAAAATACTAACCAGTCTATTATTACAGAGTGCCAAATAGATTCGGGAAGCCCAGTTTCGTTCATAAAACGTTCTTGTATACCGAGAAACATTAAGTTGGAACCTCTAAGAGAAAGTTATTTTGGACTAAACAAAAGCTTATTGAAAAGCCTTGGAAAAATATTATGCTTTGTATTAAAAAATGAAATAAAGATTTGGTTTAAATTAATTGTTGTGGCTAGCGAATCTATGCTCTGTAATATTGTGCTGGGGAGAGATTTTATGAAAGCTTGTAAGTTAGAAATTAATTTAGAAACCTTAAAAATGATTACAATCGAGGAATGTAAAACCCAAGTCGGTCGTAATACAAACATTAGTTTAGTGAATGACAATACTAAGGGCCCTTATGAATTGGATAGAGTATTAGATTGCGAAAGTTTAGAAAGTGAAATTTTCGAGGACAAAAATTTAGATAAAGGTAGTTTCAGTACAGATTTAGATCAAAAAGATTTAGGAGAAAATAATTTAGGTACAAGTTTAGGTGAGAAATTTTTAGGTACAACGTTAGGATAAAATAGTTTAGGTACAAGTTTATATGAGAACATTTTAGGTACAAATTTAGGAGAAAATGGTTTAGATACAAGCTTAGGTGAATGTTTGGAAGATAATAATTTAGGTACAGATGTCATACGGGAACAAACTTTAGGTACAAAAGGGTTAGGGGAGGAACATCGAGGTGTGTTGGACGAAAATTTTGATCGGAAAATTATGGATATAAACATTTTAGAAAACTGTGAGGAAGAAAAACTTTATAATATTGGTGAGCAAGTAAACTATAAGGATTGTGAAACGTTTATCAAGTTGTTAGAGACGCATTATGTTCAAGTCAAGCGACCGGAAATTCCGAAAATAAAATGTGAAATGAAAATAGTGTTAGAAAACTCAAAACCATTTAGCTGCGCACCAAGAAGACTGTCATATAGTGAGAAGGAAGCATTGTCAAAAATGTTAGACGAATACATTAGAGATGGGATTATTCAACCTAGTAAATCGGAGTATGCTTCTCCTATCGTATTAGTGAAGAAGAAGTCAGGTGAACTTAGACTTTGCATAGATTTTAGAAAATTGAATAAAATCATGGCTAAGGACAATTATCCGATACCATTAATTGATGACCTTTAGATAGCTTAGTGGGAAAATCGGTATTTACAAAATTGGATCTTAAGAATGTCTACTTTCATGTATTTTTTAACGAAGACTCAGTGAAATATACGTCGTTTACCACCCCGTTGGGGCAGTTTGAGTTTCTACGGATGCCCATGGGTCTTAAAACAGCCCCACAGGTATTCCAGAAATTCGTCAATGACATATTTTCGGATATGATAAGAGAAAAGAAGGTAATCATATACATGGACGATATTTTAGTTGCAAGCAAAAGTTTAGAAGAACATTTAGATGTTGTAAAAGAAGTTTTTAGAAGGTTAGTAGAAAACAAGTTAGAATTGAGAATGGATAAATGCAAATTTTTACAAGACAAGGTCAAATATTTAGGTTTTCTAATTTCAAAAGATGGGATTAGGGCTGATAGCAAGGGGTTAGAAGCTATACAAAATTTTCTGATTCCAGGCAAGGTGCAAGCAATTCAAAGCTTTTTGGGTCTTTGTTCGTATTTTCGACGATTCATTAAGGATTTCTCTATATATTATCGAAACCATTATATGATTTATTGAGAAAGGATAGGCTTTTTAGGTTTGAAGAAGAAGAGTTGAATTGTTTTTCGCTTTTAAAGGCGAAGTTAATAGAAGCGCCAGTGTTAGCTTTATATGATTACAGAGATGATGTCGAACTTCACTGTGATGCAAGTGCTTTAGGATTTGGGGCTGTACATCTTCAGAAAAAAGATGACAGCAAGTTACATCCTATTTTCTATTTTTGGAAGAGATCAACTGCAACGGAAGCGAAGTATCACAGTTTTGAATTGGAGACTTTAGCTATAATTTACGCGTTAAGAAGATTTAGAATATATTTGCTAGGCAAACGATTTAAAATTGTAACAGACTGTAACTCTCTAACTTTAACCCTCAATAAGATTGAGTTGAACCCAAGGTGGGCACTAGAGCTGCAGGAATTCGATTATGAATTAAAGCACAGAGCAGGTAGACAAATGCAACATGTAGATGCATTGAGTAGATGCAACAATATTATGATAGTGGGGGCAAATACATTCGAAACAAATTTAGTAATTTGTCAATCAAAAGATGTAAAGGTTCAGGAAATTAGGAAAATGTTAGAAAGTTGCGAGCATAAGATATATATGAAATGAGAAATGGCGTGATCTATAGGAAAAGCAACGGCAACAGATTATTATTTTACGTACCGAATCGAATGGAAGAACATGTGCTATACAAGTATCATGATGAAATGGGTCATATTGGGAGGGATAAAATGTTAGAAGTTATTGGGAAGAGCTATTGGTTTCCACGCATGAAAGATAAAGTCGTTGAACACATTCAAAATTGTTTAAAGTGCATAGCGTATGCTCCGAATGTAGGTAGAGGAGATGGACATTTACATAGCATACCAAAAGGCAACAAACCTTTTAAGATCATTCATATAGATCATTATGGGCCGGTAGATAGTAGCAGATCGAAAAAACATATATTTGTGGTCGTAGATGCTTTTACAAAGTTTGTTAGGTTGTACACAACAAAAACGACAAATACAAAAGAGGTGATAAATGCATTAACAGATTATTTTCGAGCTTATAGTATACCTAAATGCATAGTATCAGATCGGGGCAGTTTTGATTTTGCAGAGTTTATGGAAAAAAGTAACGTGAAGCACATAAAAATAGCGACGGGCTCGCCGCAGGATAATGGCCAAGTTGAACGAATCAATAGAAGTCTAGGACCAATGATAACAAAATTGACAGCACCGGAAAAGGGATTACATTGGGATAGAGTTATGGAAAAAGTAGAATATGCAATGAATAATACGATTCATAATAGTACCAAGCACTGTCCTAGTGAAACACTATTTGGGATAACACAGAGAGGAGAAGTTTTGGATAATCTAAAGGAAAGATTAGAAGACGAAGATGAGGTAGAAAATGTTAGGAAAACTTTAGAAGATGTTAGAAAAGAAGCAGAAGAGGAACAAAGAAAATCTCAAATAAAGAATGAAAAATATTATAATGCAAAAAAGAAAATTGCTACAGAATATAAAGAAGGAGATTATGTTATGGTAAAGAATTTTGATAGCACTGTAGGAGCGTCAAGAAAACTCATTCCAAAAAATAAAGGTCCTTATGTAATTGAAAAAGTTTTAAAAAATGACAGATATTTGCTTAAAGATATTGATGGGTTCCAGTTGTCTCGCCATCCATATGAAGGTGTTTGGAGTGCAAATAATATTAGACATTGCAATGCATTGGTTAAAACTATAAGTAAGATAGTAATCTAAGAATTGATTTACAATTCAATTCTCAAAAAAAACAAATTGTAAATAATAGTTAAGTTATAATTCTAAGCAGAGATAGAGGGCTATCTCAAAGTCAGGACGGCCGAGTTGTAGCAGGCCAGTTAAGATAAGTATGCTCTGGCCACTCTAATTGAGATGTTACGCTTTCTCAAGAGAGAGCATGAGAGAGCGACTGGCTGAAAATGGGGGTTGTTTGAGTGGTTGCTGAGAGCGGCAGATCACTTGGTGAGAAGATCGGAACGAGACAAGAAGTGTAAAGACAAGAAGTGTAAAGACAAGAATTGTAAAGACAAGAAGTGTAAAGACAGGAGTTGTAAAGACAAGAAGTGTAAAGAGTGGAGAAAAGATACAACCAAATATAAAAAGTTCTAAACTAAACAATAAAGAAAATATTAATAAGAGAAGAAAAGAAATAAAAAGTGTTTAAAACTAAAAGGCGGCTACAAAAACCTCTTCGGACCTCATGGTACCCCCAGCCAATCTCCCATAGTTAGGTGGCACCGAGTGATCCGGTGCGACGAGGTCATCGAGGAAATTCCACAGTGTATTGCTAAGATTAGCAACCCATGGAAGCGGATTATTATGAAGCTAGTAACTGCAATAGATATCTCAAGCACATATCGAGGTCGTATTTGGTTGCAAAAGGGGCAATATAATCTTATCTGATTATATCTTTCTAGAATTTTTCCAAGTGTATGGACATGTTTTTCTTGTGCTCTCGATTTGTGTTTAAATTTTGCAATCTTCTACCTCGTGTTTATTAACTTCCCGTTCTTTTGCGTGTGCATGCAGCTATTCTTATTTGTGTATTTTGTTTGTGGCGCCGCTGATGTTACCCGAAGCTGTGTTCACAGAATTTCGGCTAGATCGCCCAATCAGGCATGGGGTAAAGTTCCTATAGCGGTTGAATCTTCACTTATATCAGAATTATTAACTTTCGTGGAATGCAGCGATGTTAAATTCCTCAGTGTGAAGCTATCTATCAAAGGTAGCTCCATTTTTATTTACCTGTTCCTACATACCTCCATTGTCGGAACTTCCTATTTATTGGAATCACCTTTCCGCTATTGAGATGGTTTCCAGTAGACTTTTGGATAGAGACCAGTTGGTAGTTCTAGGAGATTTTAATATTTAAGAATTCACATTTCAGCACTTTGGATATTCACCTATCCTGATTTCTTGCTATTGTGCTTGAGCATGGTCATCATAATTTTACAATATAAGTCAAAAACAACTATTAACCCTATTTTCTTTTATTTTCAGAACTTTCTATTATTAAGCAAAAGTCTCTTAAAATTGATAAAGAACTGGAAATATCAGAAAGCAAAACAAAGGACTTACAATTAAATATTCAGAAATTTACTTCAAAATTGGAATTACTAAATGATAAAATTTATAAAAAAAGGATACACCATGACTTTGAAGAGACTGAATTTGAGCATGAACAGACAGAGTACAGTGAACTACTCAAGGTGTGTACATCCGAACTAAAATCTACCTTGTATAAAATATTTTAATATATTTTATTTTAGGATTTTGAGCTTGGGATTTTGAAATTGGAAGGAGCAATCACGGAACTTATGAATGAAATTGATCTTAACAAAGATTTAGTTATAGATAATCATAGAGAAACATTATCGTGGGAAACAAAATATAAATTACTTGAAGAAACCATTCAATGGTCAAAGTCAGAGCGATCTTTAGACGGTGAAATCGGTGTTATGAAAACTGAAATTCATCGTATGAATATTAGATATGGTCAACTTAAACGTGCCCAAGAAAGACTTGTTCAAGATCTGGAACATTGTGTTATGCACCGGGAACAAATTTTTGTTAATGCAACAACTAAAGAACGTGTTAAAATCAAAACTAAAAAATTAAAAAACGCATCTCAAACTCAAGTACGTTTAGACGAAGTTCACAATAGAGCAAAGTTAATTCGGAATGAAATAATTTATTTATCAGAAAAACGCTTATTAGACGATGTTAATAAAATTGAACGCATGATTTACATGTTGCGCAGAATTCAATCTGACCTTAATGATATAATTAAAGAAGATGCTTACATAGAAGAGCGCATAGAAGAATGCATTTTGGCTAAGCATGCTAACTTGGAACAAATTATAAGAAAACAAACACGAGCAAAGGCGTATCGGAAGCTTAATATTTTAAAATCTCCGCAGAAAACAGCTCGATCAGAAATGACAGTCAAACAACATTCACAAAGGCAAAGCGAATTAAATGACACCCTTATGGAAGTCGTGCACACACTTATAGTAGACTACCCAAGTAGGAAATCTTTTTTTTCAAAAGTATTTCATGTTCTTAAAGAATAATATTAAAAAAAAAGGAAATAAAGTATATTAATAAATAATCATTTAATAATATTTTAATAATAACAGGAGGGTAACACGTAACAATTTAAAAAATGTGCTAACCATTCACTTGTATGAATAATTCAAATGCCTTCAAGAATAGTCCAGACTTTTATATATTATTACCTTCAAAAACTTAAAAATATGGTAAGATACAAATTTTAATAATAACAATAAAAAAACAAGAAAGGAAGCTAACTTCGCCACGCCGACGTTTATATACCCTTGCAGATAGAACTTCGATGACTAGGAATCCATACAATATAATTAGTATGTATATATTTACATATGTTAAGGGGTTACATACAGTTAGAGGGCCAAGAAAATGTGAATTTTTCAGAATGTTTTCTGAAGAAACGTGTTAACTTATTGATCCCAAAATTTATACACATATTATAGTATCTTTTAACTGCATTTTAAGAGTTAGAACTAGTAAAAATATTTATTTGGAAGAGAGTTACACCTGTTATCCGGGAGCTCCTCTTAAAAAAGACGTTTTGCGGTGACCACTATATGTCGGAACTGGATCATCCGAAATTAAAAAACCAAACACATTTCGTTAGAGTAATGTCAAATCTAGAAATTAATAGAAGGAATAAGCAAAATAAATTTTTTTGACAAAAAGGCAGTTTTGCAAAAAAAAATCGATCGATAAAAAATAAAATATTTATTGGAAAGAAAAAATCTTCGATTAATTTCTAGAAAATATATTTTAGAAGGTCGTGTTAAAATTTGAGACTAATCGGGCTAGCCGTTTTTGAGAAATGTTGCTCACCGACTTTGAAAACACCATTTTGAAAAAAACACGTTTAAAGTTTGGAATGCTCTTAACGTAGGAGCATTTTACATAGAGCACTCTGAAACGCCTTTTCAAATTTACTTATAACTCAGGAAATATTCAAAGGAACTGAATGAATCTTTCTGTGTTTATTCTTAAATATATTTACATTAAGAAAATAAAATAAAAAAAATCGATTTTTTTAAATTTCTAACTGTATGTAACCCCTTAAAAAACAATTACCATAAGTAATACCTGCTTTCATTTCATTCTGTGAATGTAAAACTGCAAATACAATATGTATAGATATACTAGCTGTACCCTGCCACGTTTCTCTGTGGCATATTGTGGTTAAGAGGGCACTGCTGAATAGATCAAGGTTCCGGCAAAATCATCTTCCTGGCATAAGTTGAAGAAGGCATTCAGAGTTGTCGCTGGCGGATTCAGGATTTTTTCTTGCACATTTCTTTATGTGAAATAGACACGTTGAACATTCTCCAAATGGACTGCCAAGTGAACTAAAGCTGGATAGCGTTCATGAATGGGGAACGAACAAATTTTCCATGCAGCCTCGTTGCTGCTTATGTATCTTCCAGCCTGGTATTGAGATATTTCATCGACAACTCGTACTGCATTGCTGTCACCATTTTCTGCCTGAACACCAAAAACTGCCATATCGCTGCCTTTATTCACGTACTTGCAGATATATTTAATCGATTTCACGGAATTGCAATATTCTACGTTGATGATTTTGACAATAGTGGTGAGTATGGAACCACCCAACGATTGTCTACCTCAATATCACCAATTCTCATGTTTAAAGTTGCCGAAGTCCCTCCACACTTCCGTCTACCATTCATGGTGAACATGGGTTGAGGGTACACAAGGGCCATGGATCATGTTCTTGATGACAACTTCATGCAAATCCGTATCAACCTCGGCCCGTGGAATCTCAGCGCATATAACATCGTCGATTTCGTCTGGAGTAATTTTATCATACAGCCAAATCAGTATGTGCGCATGCGGCAATCCTCTCTTCTGCCATTCTACTGAATACATCCAGCACTGCACAGATCCAAATACTCCATGTTTCACAATGAAATCCATCAGTGACTTGAGCTTTTATCTGAAAACACGGGCTGTGATGTCATGCCTATCAATATACGATTGTCCAGGAAATAACAGCTGCACTATCTCGTCCCAAGCTGGATTGCATGTGAAGGTGATAAATAAGTCTGGACGGCCGTAGCAACGAACATATGCCATGGCATCATGAGCATATTCCTGCATGTGGCGTGGACTACTTATGTATGAGGATTGCAAAATCGTGAGCTTTCCAACGTTGGTTGTATAACGGTCATTCATCACAGCATCCCGCAAATGGATATATTCCTCGGACCGAAGTTTCTTCTGATTCAATCGGAGGAACAGCAAACGTTCTGTTTCAATTTTTGCATACATATCGACAATGTACTAATGAAACAACTGACAACTGTTAAAATTTGAGACTAATCGGGCTAGCCGTTTTTGAGAAATGTTGCTCACCGACTTTGAAAACACCATTTTGAAAAAAACACGTTTAAAGTTTGGAATGCTCTTAACGTAGGAGCATTTTACATAGAGCACTCTGAAACGCCTTTTCAAATTTACTTATAACTCAGGAAATATTCAAAGGAACTGAATGAATCTTTCTGTGTTTATTCTTAAATATATTTACATTAAGAAAATAAAATAAAAAAAATCGATTTTTTTAAATTTCTAACTGTATGTAACCCCTTAAAAAACAATTACCATAAGTAATACCTGCTTTCATTTCATTCTGTGAATGTAAAACTGCAAATACAATATGTATAGATATACTAGCTGTACCCTGCCACGTTTCTCTGTGGCATATTGTGGTTAAGAGGGCACTGCTGAATAGATCAAGGTTCCGGCAAAATCATCTTCCTGGCATAAGTTGAAGAAGGCATTCAGAGTTGTCGCTGGCGGATTCAGGACTTTTTCTTGCACATTTCTTTATGTGAAATAGACACGTTGAACATTCTCCAAATGGACTGCCAAGTGAACTAAAGCTGGATAGCGTTCATGAATGGGGAACGAACAAATTTTCCATGCAGCCTCGTTGCTGCTTATGTATCTTCCAGCCTGGTATTGAGATATTTCATCGACAACTCGTACTGCATTGCTGTCACCATTTTCTGCCTGAACACCAAAAACTGCCATATCGCTGCCTTTATTCACGTACTTGCAGATATATTTAATCGATTTCACGGAATTGCAATATTCTACGTTGATGATTTTGACAATAGTGGTGAGTATGGAACCACCCAACGATTGTCTACCTCAATATCACCAATTCTCATGTTTAAAGTTGCCGAAGTCCCTCCACACTTCCGTCTACCATTCATGGTGAACATGGGTTGAGGGTACCACAAGGGCCATGGATCATGTTCTTGATGACAACTTCATGCAAATCCGTATCAACCTCGGCCCGTGGAATCTCAGCGCATATAACATCGTCGATTTCGTCTGGAGTAATTTTATCATACAGCCAAATCAGTATGTGCGCATGCGGCAATCCTCTCTTCTGCCATTCTACTGAATACATCCAGCACTGCACAGATCCAAATACTCCATGTTTCACAATGAAATCCATCAGTGACTTGAGCTTTTATCTGAAAACACGGGCTGTGATGTCATGCCTATCAATATACGATTGTCCAGGAAATAACAGCTGCACTATCTCGTCCCAAGCTGGATTGCATGTGAAGGTGATAAATAAGTCTGGACGGCCGTAGCAACGAACATATGCCATGGCATCATGAGCATATTCCTGCATGTGGCGTGGACTACTTATGTATGAGGATTGCAAAATCGTGAGCTTTCCAACGTTGGTTGTATAACGGTCATTCATCACAGCATCCCGCAAATGGATATATTCCTCGGACCGAAGTTTCTTCTGATTCAATCGGAGGAACAGCAAACGTTCTGTTTCAATTTTTGCATACATATCGACAATGTACTAATGAAACAACTGACGACATTTCAATATATGATTGCAATCGGTCCTCCTAACCATTAACCTGTATGAGTAAAAGTTCATCGCGCAGCCGCTCAGTCTCTCGGATGGAGGGCCGTTCTTCGTCAGTCATATTCGTAATCTTACGTCTTTTTGCTTCTGCATTGCGAATACGACGACCCAATCTCGACTTCTTTGTTGGCATGTCTTCGTTTCTTACTGAACCTGAAAAAAAAAAAATTTGTATCTCCAATTTCTTCTTTCAATATGTTTTGAATGTTTGACAGGAAATGCTTTGATTCAGCTGGCTGCCTGTAGAGGGCGCAGCAGTAGGGGCACGGAGAAACGCGAAAAAAAATGTGATATATTCCCAAATGCAGATAAGCTATCAACATCAAAAGTAGACAATAACCGAGATGGAACCTCAACGCATGTTCTCTAAAAATTTGAGCTAAAACGGTTCAGAACTTTTCAAGTTTCTTCTTTCAATATGTTTTGAATGTTTGACAGGAAATGCTTTGATTCAGCTGGCTGCCTGCAGAGGGCGCAGCAGTAGGGGCACGGGGAAACGCTAAAAAATTGATATATTCGCAACCGCAGATAAGCTATCAACATCAAAAGTAGACAATAACCGAGATGGAACCTCAACGCATGTTGTGTAAAAATTTGGGCTTAAACCGTTCAGAACTTTTCAAGTCTATGAAGGATGTAGACACGAACAGAGCATTTTTATATATATAGATTATATTTGCAGTTTTACATTCACAGATTTGCATTATTGCTCCATATCTAACGATCGTTTGTATGGCACCTATATGATATAGTCGTCCGATTTGATTAAAATTTGACAAAAATTTAAGAGTACTATAAAATGGGTATATCTCAAAATTAATGAAAATCTGCTAAAAGCTGAAAACGTTTAATTGTATTAATTTCTCGATCGTTCCTATGTGAGCTATATGATATAGTAGTCCGATTTTCATAAAAGTTTACACAAAATTGTAGAATAATATGAAATGGCTATACATCATATTTGATGAAAATCTTTTGAAAACTGAAAAAGTTATAATATTTAATTGTATTAATTTTTCGATAGTATATGATATCGTAGTTCGTTATTACACAAATAAAAAAAAAAAAAAAATTTACACAAATTTATAGAGTATAATAA